GGTGCATCCAAAAATGTTTAGTCTAGACTAAACCTCGCTGGAATTCTCTGCAGAGCAGACCTCAGCCCTCTGGATCCCTGACAGCCATCTCTACTGGCCACAAACAACAACACAGCGTGGATCCTGTTCCAGGCTTCCTCCCACCTCTCCTTATCTAATCCCAGAGCTATTCCCCCTCCCAGAGCCACAGGCGCTCAGGTAAAAAGCTGTTGATGGCTGCAAGTATTTCAAGGCTGGTTAATGAACACAGGCAATGCTCCCCCCACACCCCTAACCATCGGTACAGTGAGCATGGGAGACAAACCCGAAATAATAAACCCAGAAAAACGTGTTCATCTGCCTGACAGCAGCCAGAAGCCACTGTTGCCAAAGAGAAAAGAGTCTGGAGCTGCTCTTTCTAAAATGCTGTCAGCACAATTAATTCTGAAATATGCTCTGAAAACGTGGAACGAGGCCCATCTGTCACGGCTCCCCGTGTGTATTTAATGATTAGGGAGAGGGAGGAGAATAAACTCAGTGTTTCATCTCCAAACCCAGCTTCCCTGTGCAGAGGATTCAGGCAGTAGTTCAGCATTTCATCCTTTCCCAAACTCAATCCTAAGTGGCATCTTCAGCAGAAAAGAAAGTCACCAACTACCTCCTTTGTCAGCAGCCCCAGCACAACCACCCTCACGATGAAGTAAGGCTGGAGCATTATTTTTCTTTCTTTGTACTGGAAATTGGTCACTGCATTGGCAGAAATAATCTGGTACTTCCCTGGAATCCATTCCTTCAGCAAAGCAAAAAAAGTGATGCTATGTTGAGTGTGAACACCTGGCAGCCTTTTTTGACATGTATTGCTTGAATGGCAATTCAGAGCCAGCTCCAAGTTTTCCAGCACTTTTCCTCACGACTCTCAGTCCAACTTAATGATCACCAAGCACTGGAGAAGTTCAGCTGACTCAGGTCCAGACCTGAAATCCAGGAATACGCATTCAGATCAGTCTGTAGATTGAGCCACAGGAACTGAGGGGTCTGAGACCCTCCCTGTCCACCCAGAGACAAGCTGTTACATCCAGCTCTCATTTATAATTGTCCAGGATTTAAAATATCCTTTTTCCTCTCATTTCCAACAGCAGCCTGGTCTGCTAAATAAAGCCAGCTGCTGCTTTACACACCAGCAGGCCCGTGCACTTAACCAAATGGCCAGAACCTTTTTGCAAAAGACATGAAGAAGAAATAATACACAAGGACACACGAGTTTACAAGAACTGCCTCTCAAACCTGTGGCAACTTTGACAGGAGTAGAATTAGATCAGTATGGAATTTTGGGAATTTTATCCTTCATGAGGTAAAATAATTTTCACTGGATGCATGTAAATCATTGTACTTGTACTTACACCAAACCATGACCTTAACTTGTGGTATCATCCCAAGATCATACACTCAAGAGCTTAGATAATTACATGTATAAAACGTAAGTGATACATAAATAAAACAAGCCCTGAATTTCATTTCAGCATTTTGACAGATGCAGTGCCTACACTTAGAGGATGCACTTCTCTGCTCCCATTAAAAGGTGCCACCAGGTGGACACAAGAATCCCAGTTAATCAAGGAGCCACAGCTAATTACAGTATCACAGCAGCCACCCATCACTATCTCCAGAGAAGCCAGAACAGATGGATTCTCCTGGGATTTAAGAGTCTTTGAAGGAAAAAAAAAAAAAAAAAAAAAAAAGTACATCTTGAAGCAATCAGGCAAGGGATTGTAAATTCTGATTTCAAGATAACCATTGGCAAATTAAGTCTATTAGTTAAACAAATCTTCCTAAGGAAACAATACCTCATTTTCTTAGGCTTTCCATGCTTATCCACTTGTCCTGGGCCAGGACAGTTTCCACAGGCAGCTGCTGTCATGTTTTTGGGATAGACTCTGCCTTCTTTTTTGTTCTGGTGCTGTGCCCCAGCCTCTGCTCACACCTACCCCCACACACATGGCCCTCAGAGAACATCTTGTTCCAGAAATAATGCAGGTTCAGAGGGACCTTTGGAGCCTGCCATATAAACACTGAATTTAGCATTATTCAGCAGTGTTCCTATATCAGCTTAAAAAGAGGGATAAAAGAGATGTCATATCAGTCAAAGCCCTCCAAGCTTTCTCCAACAGAACAGACTCTGAGGATGTACACAAAGTTCAAATGAATTAAGAACTGGGGTTCATATTCTCCTGAAAAGCCAAACCAAAATAACAAAAAGCCCCTTTGAAGACTGAAGGAATGCAGGCAACCAGGAAGGCTACTCCTCTTATGCTTCCAAGGTTGTCAAAACCAGGAGTTGTTAGAAATCTTGCTCGACAGCAATTTCCAGCATGATTTCTCACTGAATAAATTTAATCCAGAGCCAATTCCTAAATTATGGCTTGATAAAATATCTGCAACAAATATAAAATAGCTTAAAATCTGCCATAAGGCTTAGAATTACCTTTTCCATGGAGCAGTTAGAACGTCCAGCCCAACATGAATACACTTTCTTGTGGAGTGTCTGCAGAGTGGAGTGAAGATAAGCTGAAACTGGCCACACATCACTCAAACTGGGATTTGCTGTATCTCTGCAGCACAATCCAGAGCACTGCAGAGGGGATGGGCCTTTGCAGTTTCTCTTTGCATCCCTGTAAATAACAGTTACCTTTCCACGTGGATCATGGTGCTTTCAAAATGGAAGAGGAGAAAACAGGTTTTTCCTACAGTCCTGGCACAGGTGGGGTCCTGCTCAACATCAGACCTCCCACATTCCCATCCCACCTATATTCAGATGTCAACAGGAAAAGCTTACTATCATATTCCAGTAATATTCCAAAAGTAGACAGAGTCTGACTCACTGCCCTCCTCATCCAGTACAGACACATTCTTGCTGTAAGGTTTGGTTAAAAGCCAGTGTTTATAGACTTTAAAACAACAACAACAAAGCCACTGTCTGACTCCAGCCATAGGAACACCCTGAATGCTATACACAGTGAAAAGGGGCATCCTTTACTAATTTATTAATAGCAGTAACATCTGCTCTTTATAAAGTGACATTTTGATGCCAGCAACGCAGAACACGAGTGAAATGCAATGGCAATGCCACCAGTTTCATGTTGATTAAGGAGAAGCTCCCCAAGTGCCAAAATCCCATCAAACCCATGCTTTAAGCTCTTTATTTCTGACTTGGAGCATGGTGGTCTAGTGGAAGGAACAGTGCATTGCAAGCTGTATGGAGGAACAATCATTCCTCACCATGCCCCACTTCCTTTCAACAGGCTCTGGAGAGATTTTCCTGTCAAAATGAAGATTCCAACCAACAGGGATAATCACACATATGCCACACCTATGGAAAGCAGGGACAAGGTTCCTCTACAAACCAGCACCACTCTCCAGACTGGGAATAAACATCCCCAGATGCAGAGGCCTTAATAATATTTTTAATATAAAAGTATATCTTCATTTCCCCTGTGCTACTTAATTCTGTTCTGTGTTTACAGGGTTCACCACCAGGGCAGAGGTGAAAGAAAATGAGAATTCATTCAGGGAATCGTTGCATTCTCACAGAGTGTTTTACTGAATGGGATGGAAAAAGATGGAAATGGATATTCCCAGAGGACAGCGATGTCATGTTCTTGCACACACTGATGAGTATCTCAAGAATACAATCCTTAGCAGGAAATATTAATTTTTCTGTGGCTAAACTGAAGTGGTTACTCTTTTGAGGACTAGAAGATGCGTAATTCAGACTGAGATTTCTTTCATGCTCATTTTTTTCTTCTTTTAAATTAAAAATGCAAAATAAATACTTCATATCTGTTGGACACAATAACCTCATTATTTGCAGGATTTCCCATGTTCAGCAGCACATTTCTGAATCTATCACTTCTTCAATTGCCATGCCCTGCCTTTGAGGAGGCTCAGGGTGCTCACATACCTTCACTGCAGCTTTGAAGACTGTCTGGCCCCTCACTGGAGAGGACAAGAATTAAACAAACCTCATGCTTTATTTCCTAAGAAAAATGTTTTTCACACAGGGGGAACTCAGGGTGTGGACTCCCTGTAGAAAGCAGACTTAATTTACAACACACCAGTTCAAATGAAATAATCAGGGTTCTCTATATCCCTTTGTGGCAAGGAGTGAGAAAAATGGTTAATCAAAGTTACAGTCAAGAACTGAACTCTCAAAGGTCCGATATATTTTTCCAAAAATTAGCATAAAAATTAGACACTATTACATCACTCATTTCTTAGATTGACGTGGGCATAATGAACTGCAATTTCTCCCTGCTCCTGTGACTATGAACTTCAGAAAGACTCAAGCAAGCAAGGTGCTCAGAGCAGGACCTGCCCTGCCAGGTGAGGTTTTGCAGGGATTGCCCCAGCAGCAGCACTACACAAACCCTTCGTGCCAAAGCTCCTTGGTTTGTCTGGATGCAGCTCTTCAAGGGACATCTCAGGGAATGGCTTCTGATCTCAAAGAAAGGGAAGAATCAGGTATAAAGTGGCTTGATTTGCTGTTATGGCTGCTGGCACACAAAAAACCCTCTAGCACACCTGCAGAACCACTGACCTCCCTAAAACTGGGACATTCTAAGTCATGGTGTTCATTCAGAGGATATTCTGAGTGTTCCCTTCAAAACCCAAAAGACTGGTAAATATATAACCATAACATGCCTCACTTAGTACAGATGGACTAAGGGAGATTGGAGAAGTTCACAAACTCAACCAATTTTCCTCAGATTTGCTAGCCATGCCTCCAGCCAGCTACCCCTTCCCAGAAACTCCAGTGTGCTGCCACGGAAGGAGAGGAAGGAAAAACCTGGTTGAATTAAAACTCCAACCAACCAAACCAAACCAAAAAACCCCACCCAACACACTAGAAGAAGAGCCCTCCTTCTGCTTCTCCTGCTAACTCCATAAGGAAGCAGCCAACACATCATATCCTATTCCTGGAGGACTCTCCTCTCTCCAGTTGTGAGATCCACGACCACTCTTACCTCTGTCAATGAAACAGCAGATCAAAAAGGATTATCATAATGTTGCCTTTCAAAATCTTCTCCTAAAAATGGGAGGAAAATGGACAATTTTTGGGAATGTCAGTCACTTCTGAGAAAAAGGAATTCCTCCCTGATAATGTGCACTCAGACCCTGATGCAACTGAAGTGATTCCATGTCCACAGCTCCTCAGTGTCCCTGGAAAATGGACAGGTCTGTACTTCCTGTGAGAATTCTTGCCTGTATAGTTTGGTAGGAGGAGACTCAAATCCAGGAAAAATGGACCAGTTTTATATTTCTGAATATAGTTCCAGAAATTCTGAAATCTCTAAAATTAATACATTTTTTGTGGTTTCTACAAAAAAAAAATCTTATTTTATAATAAATGAATTAATGTACAGATACTACTAAAAACAACAAAACTCCTCCATCTGAAAAACAGAAAAAAATGGATGTTCCTAAATGAAAAAAAACCAAACTATTTAAAACCAGATGAAGTGCTTTTAAACAACTTTGAGAGCCATGTTTTTTTCTCTCTACAAGCCTCTAAATGGGAGGTTTGCCTGTGGTGTGATTCCCTGCAAGTCAGACTTAGCTGCAAGAAATCTGTGGAGTTTAGCTGCTCATCTTAGATTGTCCAGACTGTAATGGCCTGGAAACACACAGAGCAGTTTTGCAAGATCAGATTTTTCAAAGGAAAATTCCAGTACTGATTGTGTTTCAAGCTGGCTGGAAATCTCTCCAGCACAGATTCTTTCATACTGGTTTAATAGTCTGAAATCTGGAATTTCAAAAGGGTATTGCAGAACTGAAAATTCTGCTTGAAAATCAGAAAGCCCTCAGATTTGGGTGTGAGCTGAGCGGTGACAAGAAACACACAAAACTCATCTACTTCCCAGTATTTTTTCCTGTCATTTCGCTCCCAAGCTCTGCTTCAGGATGGACGAATTTATCTTAACACTATGATGCCATTTTGCACCACAAATATTGAAAATACTCATGAACTTGACCCCAAGAGCTGTCAGCAGAGTGACAATCTTCTAAAGGTAGGTCTGAGAAAAACTGGCAGTCCTCAAAGCAAAACCTCTGTAAGTATCCTTAACAGTATTTTTTTTCTCCATAGAACAGGATTGTACCAGATTGGAAGAAATTCTTTGGAAATGATACACTTATCCACAAACAGAATCCCAGATTATGGGGGTTTTTCCATGATTCATGAAAAAGAGGTCAAAATGAAAAGAAAGTATTTTTGACTTAGACGTCTCAAAAATCCAGCAGCAACCAAAGGTGTCCAGCAACAAAGAACCCAAGCATTCTCTTTGCTACAAAAATACAAATTCACAGTTTTACTGAGGAGGCAGAGCTGCATTTCAACAGCTAAAATTTTACCGTACCATCGGAAAAAGGGTTTCAGTTGCACAGGGTTACAGCCAGCTCCTTTCATCTCTGACCCAGAAGGCACAACTCCACAATGGGGCAGCTGCCAGACAAAAACTGCAGAGGCAAGAAATCAATCCATCAGGATTCCAGGAAAACACATTTTGTTCAGTGAACAGCACTGTTTGCTAGCCTCCTTTCAAATGACGAAGCTCTGCTCCGAGGATACGTACAAGTCACACGTGCACCTATTCCAGAAGTGTTGGAGGAATTTGCCAAGCCGTGTCAGAAAATATGGCTGAGATAATTATTGAGCAAGCCCACCTTTAAACCACCTTGGCAGCACAGAACACGTCCAGTGTCTTCCCTATGGATAATCCCTCCACCTGCTTCTCATCTCTCAGGGACTCTAGAATGTGTGACAAGATAAAGAATGAGCAGGAAGCAAGGCAGGGCTTGTGTTCAGGCATCCTGCAATGCCAATAAAACCCAAGCCCTGGATGCATGTTCCTTTTTCAGGAATTTCAGGACCACTATTCATCTGTAAAGCACCAGAAAACAGGCTGTGCAACAATCACAGAAGCCGTTTGAAAAATCCCTTCCTGCATGCACGAACAGCAAAGTGGCAAAAAAGAAACAATAAAATGCTACTTAAAGTTCATAGTTTAGAATATCTAAAGTTAGTATTTTAGAACATTAAGCAATTTTCCAGACTTTTTTCTACTGACATTTAAAACTACTTAATCAGCCAATTTTTATATGTTTTGCTGGAGACACAAGTTGAGGCTGCTTGGGAATAAAGGGGAAGAAGAACAACAAGGCTTGTGCTCTTACAAAGGAAGAGTCAGTGAGATTTTAAGTCATCCCTGAGTATTCCATGAGGCTGGATTTTATTGTGTTTGAAACAATACCACCCCATTAGCATCTCTGGTTTGGCAATACAGACTGGAGCTGGGCATCAGACAAAGGGCTAAGGAGTGAAAGAGCACAGTTTTCCATGGGGAATTAGGTACTGCTGCTCAGGCAGTGAAAGGAGCCGGGTCCACACCTTCCGTGGTGCCTGGCAGCTGCTGGAAAGCACCCAAATATCACCTCTCACTGATGCAAATGGACAGACAACACAGCGGCAACATAAACAAACCATCCCTGAAAAGCTTCCCAATATGCAACAAAAAAACCATTTGTTCTTTCAATGCACAAGTTGATACCAATCCACAAGAGTTTCCCTTTCAGCACCTGCCAGGATAAATTTCCCCTTTAGGCAGATGGTCCAAAACCTGAGCCCACTGTCCATGAGAAATCGCAGCTCGACTTGAGCACACAGCGATAAAAAAACCAGGAGAGTTCTGCCCAAGGAAATGAATCACTCCCAGCACCTCTGCAGAGCCAGCCTGTCCCTCCAGCCCTGACCTACATACTGCACACGCAGCGCTCCAAAACAACCTGACATTTCACCCCAAACTCCTCAGCTTCCCGCTCCTCCCCGCACTCCCAGCGGATGAACAGCACACTGACCGCCCGCCCTTCAGATGAGGAGATTTAATGGTGCCCCAGGACACTCCTGGTCTCCTCTGGAGTTTTTGCACCCTGGGGTTGTCCTGAAGACTGGAGATGTCACCCAGAGTGGACTTTGTTACACACCAGTGGTGTTTCGAAGTATATAGGAAAGGTGGTGGGCAATGGATGGAATGTTTAAAAATAATCACAGAGTCCTGGAATGGTTTGGGTTGGAAGGGACCTAAAAGCTCATCCAGAGATTTAATGGCACCCCAGGACACTCGTGGTCTCCTCTGGAGTTTTTGCACCCTGGGGCTGTCCTGAAGACTGGAAATGTCACCCAGTGTGGAGTTTGTTACTGTCATGATATAAAGATATACATGTCAGTATATAAGAAAGGTGGTGAGCAATGGACAGGGAATGTTTAAAAATAATCACAGAGTCCTGGAATGGTTTGGGTTGGAAGGGACCTAAAAGCTCATCCATGCCATGGGCAGGGCCCCCTTCCACTAGACTAGGTTGTTCCAAGGCCATCCAAAGCCACTGTCACACCCACCTGGTTTTTTGGAGTTTCCTTCAGGAAAGGGGTTGCCCAGACAAGAATTTCACCAGGTAGCACAGAACCCCTGTAAATTAAAACAAATTTTCCAAACAAATTTTAAGGTAAAGCAAAGCTGATTAGGGAAACCTTTTCTGATGAGTAAGGCAAAGATAATGGGCAAAGGGCAAGGGGAATTAAGTTAAAGAAACAAGTTTCTTTACTTCGAATAATGGCAAGTGTCAGAATGGTGTGATTTAAATTTGCTTTTTAGTTTTCCACACTAACACGGAAAAGTTACTCATTGAAAGCCCCATGCCTTGAGCACTTCTGAGCAGTGACAGAAAGACACAAGATCTCTCTGAGCAACTGGTCTTCCAAACTACCGAGAAACAGCATTTCCAGCCCTGGTTCTGCCCACAGAGGGATACGGGAGAGACATGGGCAGAGTTTTTTTTTTGGGAAGGGAGGGGGACTGGGGTGTGTGTGTCTCTGGTGAACGATGAGACAGTAAAACTCCACACATGTACATTTCCAACTGTGCCCACTGCAATATGAAAAATGTCATCCCAGTGTTAGTGGGGAGAAAGGTCCACTCCTGGGAAATCACTTTTTGCCTCCCTTCAGTTAACTGCAAAATCCTGATGCACCAGAACAGAGGCGAGAATCCAGTATGGAGTGTCTGTCCAATGCTCTGTTCACTCACCATCTCCCTCTTGGTTATCATTTCAGTCTTACACTGCTGTTTTGGGATTTAGCACAGAATAATTCCTACTGCTTTACCTTTAACTTGCAGAGAGAACCGCTAAGGGGCAAAACCTCCTGTCCCACGCCCCTCTCCCACAAAAGGAAGGCGCTACTTGAAGCACCAGCAGTCAGAGCAAGAGCAATGTTTCCCAGAACTCCTTCCTTCCCTTTGTTTCACCACTATTAACAGATGAGTGGCATGCTCCATCTGCAGCCCTTGTGTTTGTCACCTTCCCCCAGATTGTGTGCTGTGAGGACCATCAGTAAACATCAGTGTGAGAGCCCAGAGTTTTCCTGGTGCGGGGAGGGGAGAACACACAATCACCCAGACCTCCTGCCTCCCCCTTCCTGAGTGAATGCTCCAGTGGGAAGCACTGCTGCTCCATGACAGTGGCACCTGCTGTGGAATTGCTGCATGCACACCAACGGTGCCCTTGCAGATAAAGCCTGGGAAGCGCACGGGAGCCGATGTGCAACATTTTCTATTAAATACCTCAGGACGAAAGCACAGTGAAATGAAAGCTCCATAAAGAGTTTTGATTTTAATAGCTTCGGTTACTAAGTTCAGTTTTCTGGAGATTTGGCAGGCTTTCCTGGAGTGTACTGGGATATCTGAAACCTCTTTTGTTCTCTTTTTCTATTTTTTTCAACTTAGCTATTTGCAACCATCAATGAATAGCAGCAAAACATGACATTTAGAATTAACCCTGAAATCTTGGAACTATTTGTTGACCCAAAAAACCAATGCAGAATGTTTCAGTCTTCAAGCAGAGAATCTCTAATCCTCTTTTAATAACTAGGTTTCACTGTGCAAACAGTGATAATATATCATATCAATCCCTTGATGGCTGACACGCTCCAAGGGAAAGAGTTTTTACTTCAGTGTTTCCCAAGATTTTTGTATGTGTTCATTTTACTGGAATTTGCATGAATATCTTTCACTAATTACAAGTTATCTGCTCATTGCAGGGCGTACAAATGGTTTGGAGGTCACAGACCCAGAGCATTGTGATTTAAATAAAAATTGCACAGTGCCCCTGCTTTTTTTCCAGCCATCAGATGTCTGGACTGACTGCACATTCCAACACTTTGGAAAGGAGATCCTGCCTCATGTAATAGCTAAAGGAATGTTCCAGTGTCATTGCTGGGGAGGGTGCAGAGGGACGAATGCATTTAGAAAACAACTTGAAGACCTAATCTGTCTATTTTTCCTGAAGTCACCTAAAACCTTGTGTCCCCTGGGAGTGTTTTCCTGTCCAGGCAGCACAGCTCTGCTCTGCCTAAGGTGGAACCTCAAGTATTCCAACCCACATCATGCTGCTCAGGCAGCCAAACAGCAGAGAACTGGTCCAAAGTCGCTTTCAATCCACATGTTTTTAAGTGTGTCCATCAGCAAAACATGCAAATAAAATGGGATACAAACTCTGCCCTCACTCACCTGACATTAGGTGTTCCTGCTTTATCTAGCAGAGCTATTTTTAAACAACTTTTTATTGAAACAGGCTTCTTGTCAATAGCAAAATATAGCAATGGTGCTAAAAAATCTGAAAATACATTCCTTATATTGACAAATATCAGTATTTTTGTCAAATTCTGGTCTAATTTGTCTAATTCTGTCATAGTCTGCTACCTTGAAATCTTGAAGGTCTCTTCCAACCTAGTGATTCTGTGATTTTATCATTATGCACAATAGGACCTTTTCAACAGACATATCTAGTCTAGGAGGAATGAAAGCAAAATGTTGTTCCTGGGATTTTAAAAGGCTCTGTAGAAATTATAAAACCTTGACAAATCAAACAACTAATTAGATTATGCAGGTTTGAACACCATCCCACAATACCTTTTCCTAAGGATCTGCTTTGCTACTGGATTTGCTCCAGCAATGACACAGCAAAGATTATCAATTTCTCTTTATGCTAAAAGCCTTCTCAAACGAGAATCCACGAGGAAATATTATCTAAACTGAAGGAAAGACATTTTTAGGGAGGACGAGGTTACAAACTTTACCAAGTTCACCATACAGGATGTGTAACGGTGGTGCTTCACCTTTGCAAATACCCTAAAGCCATGAGGAGGTGCTGGGTTTGAGAACACACCCCTGAGGGGTATGTGATCTGCCACCCCAGCTCCTCCTTCTGCAGGACCAACAGGAAGAATGCCTGAGAAAAGCAGGACTGCAGACAGTGTGCATGTTTGCAAACATTCTGATAACAAACCTGCAGTCTAAATAAAATCTCTCTCAAGCACAGCAAAAATCCCGAAGGCTTGGGATATCAGGAGAAGAGATGCTGGTCCCACCTTTGCTGGGAC